AAAAGGTGTGTGTCTGAGCCACGAGGGGAGGGGAGGGGGGGTCTCGAGGGCCTCTCAGCCTACCTGGATGAGGGACTTGACGCTGGGCTGGAAGACCATGTTGGTGTTCAGCAGGAAGGAGCGCAGCAGGGGCTGCGGGTGGCAGGCCAGCTGGGCCAGCAGCCCCGTCAGCAGGAAGTTCACGTAGAGGGAGTTCTGCAGCATGTTCTCCAGCTTGGCCAGGAGGACGGCCACAAAGGGTCCTGCCCGGGGGTGGGAGAGGGGGACATGGGGGTGTCAGGGATGATGACAGCAGAAGAAAGAAACTAGCAAGGGGTACATGTGTGTGGGAAGCAAAGAAGAGCAATGCCACCCCCAACACACACCAGGCCTGGGCTCCTTCCTCCCCCCTACTGAGAGGGAGGGACTTGGGCTCAGGGGCACAGATCCTGACTTCTCCAGGCAGCTGCCCTGGGGCTGCCCTTGGTGGCAGTTCCTCGCCCCCAGTGCCCCAACCCAAACGAAAGGGGTCTAACCCCCCCCATGCCCCACAATCCGCCTCTGCAGACAACACCCCGTGGCCTGGGGCCCCTTGACCTAGTGAGCCAGCTGGTGTTCAGGAAGTGGCCACCAGCTGGACAGGCCGGCGTGGGTCAAAGGGGGGGGGGTTGGGAGGCAACGGGGAGAGGGCAGAGGTGGCGTTGGGAGAGCTCGGCGGAAGGGGCCTCAGGGACCCTCCCCCAACAAAGGCCAGAGACGCGGCCAAGGGAGGCTCACCAGTGAATGGCTGGCTGGGGGGCTGCCCAGGGGTCCGTGCGGGGCTGCTGATGACCTGGGCAAGGGGGTCAGCTGGCCTTGGCTGCCCTGGACCATCCGGCTGGGAGGAGAACCTCCGATAGGCCTCCTCCTCCTCAGGGGAGAGCGGGTCACGCTCCAACGGGACGCCAGGGGCAGGGGCAGGCTCCTCTCCTCCTCTGCCACCGTTCTCCACCTCTCTTTCGAGCCGGCTGAGCTCCGCCGTGAACTTCTCCACCGTCGAGGTGGCCCCGTTCTCCACGGGCGCCTGAGCCAGGAGCTCCTCCAGCAGTGGGTCCGAGGCGGGCGCAGGCTGCCAGCCAGGGGAAGGGCTCGGGGTGGAGGGGGCGGTGCCGTTCTCAACCAGGGCCCCCCCTTGGAGGCACCAGCGGACCTTCTTGACGCCGCCAGAGTCCGCGTGGGGGCCCCCATTGAGCAAGGCCTCAGAGTCCGTGGGGAGGGGAGAGGCGGGGGCGCTGGTCTCCGTGCCCAGAGGGGGCCCCTCCGGGCTGGCCGCCGCATCCTCCGCCGGCAGGCCCCGCTTTTTAGTCCGAGGGGAGGAGGGTGCGGGTGCCGGGGCCCCGCCTGGAGGGACGGAGGGGCAGCCAAAGTAGTCGCTGCTGATGGGCAGGGCGGAGGTGTCCGGGGGGGGCGCCAGGCTGGTGGCGCTGGGCACCTCCCCGTCATAGGGGGCAGACCAGACGCGGCAGGCCCAGACGCAGCGGTCGATGTTGAGCCGGGCGTCCCGCAGGTATTCCAGGTAGTTCCCCTCCAGTTCGGAGACCTCCTCCCACCGGCTCGGACGGTGGCCGGGGCTGCCCGCTGGGGGCGTCCCTGGCGAGCCGGGGGGGGCGCCAGGCTGGTGGCGCTGGGCACCTCCCCGTCATAGGGGGCAGACCAGACGCGGCAGGCCCAGACGCAGCGGTCGATGTTGAGCCGGGCGTCCCGCAGGTATTCCAGGTAGTTCCCCTCCAGTTCGGAGACCTCCTCCCACCGGCTCGGACGGTGGCCGGGGCTGCCCGCTGGGGGCGTCCCTGGCGAGCCGAGCACACTGGGGCTGCCGTGGCCTGGGGGGAACAGAAAGGGGGGGGCTCAAACAGACAGCCTGCAGCAGGAACCACCAGCACACCGGGCAAACAGAGACCAGCTAGCAGGACCCACTGGGATCCCCCCACATGAGGAGGGAGATGGGGGAGCACGCAGGCGGGGAAGAGGATTCTTCCGGGAAGTCCCCCCCATTCAGAGGAACTGGCCCGTACGTCCCTTCGTCCGGAAGGCAAGGGGAAGAGGCTCCCCAGCCCTGCCCAGCCCAGCCCAGCCCAGCCCAGCCCAGCCTAGCTCACCCACCACTCAGGAGCCAGGCGGCCCAGCTGGCCCTGCAGCGCATGCGTGAGGGCCAGGTGATGCACGCCCTCTCAGCCCCCCCCTTTTCCGCAGTTCCTCCCAGACCTGCACACCACCCCTGCTTCCTGCTCCTCCAGGCTCAACCCCCCCCTCCAACCTCAAAGGGCCCTTCTGACCTGAGGCCGTCGGGGTGGGGGCTTCACAGAAAGCATCCCAAGGGGAGGGAGGGGTGGCCCTGGTTGGTCACACCTCCCGCCTGGGCCCGGGGACCCTCTCCCCCTTTCGCTGCACGGCTCAGGAGGCCGGCTTGGAGTTGGGCTGGGTGGAGAGTGGGGTCCTGCAGAGCTGTCCGGCCGCACGGCTGAGGCCGGTCCCAGTTCTCTCTGACCCCCCCCCAGGCCCCGTCCCTCGCTCACCCTTGGACCAAGTGGCATGCTCCTCTTCGCGCTCGGGCGCAGGCAGGCTCTCGGCGCGGCAGCAGCGCGGGATGAGCGAGAGGAACTTGCCGGCCGCTTTGCCGTAAAGGTCCAGCTCCTTTACCGCCCTCTTCTGGCTCAGCATGACGTGGCTGCAGGGGACGAGGTACCTGCAAAGCGGGGGCCGTGGGGAGAGGGAGCAGGGGCTGAGCATGGGGTCATGGCGGGGGGGGCAGGACAGCCCCCATCCCCTCGCAGCCCCACCAGGAGGAGAACCATGGCCAGGGAGGGCTCCCAGCTGGAGGGAGGGGGGTGAGAGCCAGGGAGCAAAACCGGCCAGGGGTGCTTCCCCCCACCCCACCCATTCCCGCTGCCACCATGTCCTGCCCCCCCTCCCAAAGAACCAGGAAGGGGAGGCTGCAGCTTCTCCCTTCCCTTGAAGGCTTCCCTCAATGCCCGGTGAGCGGCTAACCCGGGCCCACCAAAGCTAGCCACCCCACCCCTCAGAGGGCCAGGACTGCCCCAGAACCAGGAGCGGGGGGGGGAGCCCAGGAGGGACTCCTCCCCACCACAACCTGTGGAATTCCCTGCCACCAGCGGGGGCCGGCTGGCTGCTGTTTGGCCCCTGGATCGGAGGCAGCTGCCTCTGCGCCTGGGTTGCCAGAGAACGGGACTCAGCCCCAGCCGAAGCGCTTCCGGCGCAGGCTTCCATTCGATGTGGTGGGGGCGGAATGTGGGACAGACCCACCCCACGGCTGCCCCTCCATCCCTACCCTCGGCTGGACCGTGGGCCTGTCCTGAACACTTCTGAGCAGGGCACAGCAAGCCGAAATGCATGTGCTTTGCCCCAAGCGGTGCCTCGTTGAGAGGTCTCCAGCCAGACTCACTGGGGGGGGGTGTCCTCTTTCCTGGCACATCTTTGTGGTCCAGGTCCAGCAGCCACTCGGGTGGGAGAGTCCTGGGCAGCCCGACCCCCCCCAGCTCTGCTGCCAGGCTCGTTCTGTACTAAGGGCCAACGCCTTCCCCCCCCTCCAGCCTCACTCAGCCGGGGGCCCCCGCAAGGCCAAAAGGGTGGGCGCAGGACCCCTCCAAGGTCGGTGGGTGGGCGGGCAGGCAGGGCCCCTCCCGCCAGGGGCCTCTTTCCACCCCACCAGTCAAGAGTACCTGAGCACCAGCTGCAGCAGGACGTCTTCACAGTGGAGGCTGAGCAGAGTCCGGAAGAGACTGAGCGACACCATGCAGAGCTGGGTGGGGAGAGAAGGGCCCCCCCCCTTGGTGTGAAGGTGGGGCAGGGCAAGCGGGGACCCTACAGGATCCTGCCCACAGAGCCCAGGCCCCTGCTCTCCAGCCAGCACCTGGAGGGTGGGTGTTTCCACCCGGCTCCCCCTATGGGGGCCCAGCCGGTTAAGCTAAGGCCAACCCTCTGCGCACTCCCCACCCCCCCCCCGGCATCCCCACAGGAAGCAGACCCAGGCAGGGGCTAAACCCCGACGAGAAGGGCAACCGGAGGGGCTCAAGGTCTCCCTGCCATGCAGGCTGGGGTGTGTGCGTGAGTGCGTGGAGTGTGGAGCTTTCAGGGGCCAGGGGCTCTGCCCCCCACAGCAGGCACAGCACTCGGACCTGGGAGAGGGCAGAGACCCCCTCCCGGCCCCAAAAACCCTTCTCTCGCAGGGAGCCCCGGCCAGACTGTGCAAAGCCGCAGGGAAATCCCCAACCCCCTCCCCCCAAAGCAGAAGGGGCACTCTGGACACCCACCCGCCCAGCCTGCAAGGGTGGTCCGGCCGGAGGAGCACAGCTGGCCGCTCCCACACTGGAGCGAGCGCCCGGCCTCCCCCCGCGCAAAAAGCCTCAGCCTGTCAAAG